GAGAGAGAGAGAGAGAGAGAGAGAGAGAGAGAGAGGGAGAGAGAGAGGGAGAGGGAGTGAAATTAGAGAGGTGGTAGAGGGGGAGGTATGCTGGTAAGTCATACCTAAGATAGGGTAATGATAAAGTTATAATGTTAAATGTCAAGTGTATATTCAATTAATGTATCTATTCTACTGATGTCCTCCCTCTTTTTCTCTTAATCTCACACCCCCTCTCCCTCTCACCTTTCTCTCCCACTACTCTACCATATTAAATTAATGTGTCTAATGTCTATTCTACTATAATGCTATCCCTCTTCTATTTTTCTCTCTCTCTCTCTTCCACTACTCTACCATACTTTAGTTCCGTCCTCTCACCATTGGTAGATCTCCCTGTGGTTACGTTGGTCTTAAGAATGCTGGTGCTACCTGTTACATGAATACAGTCCTGCAGCAGTTGTACATGCAGCCCGGGATAAGGGAGGCTATACTGGGAGTGGAGAGAGATGAAGAAGACTCAAGGTATAGTAATGTAGTATTATTTTTTAAATTTATTTTTTATTATAAAAAAAAACTTATAAAAGTACGCATAACACTTCGCTCTATATATGACAACATCCTCACAAGGACACACGTTTATTATTGTGTTTTGTTCTTGCTTGACGGATAAAATATTATTTTTTCCTGAAATGACAACCATATCATCTTCATCTTCTCCTGGTCTCCTCAAACTGGAGGAGGAAGTTGACCTCATGCACTGCTGGTTGCTATGGCTTAAATGTTAATATAATTCATTATTTCACTGTAATAATAGTCACAAGATTTTAAAATAGTATTACACTTACACTGTACTTCTATTTGGGGATTTTCCCCTAGATTTGGGGAATTTTTTGCTCCATCTAGGGACTAAAGGAGGATTTTTAAAAATTATATCAAAATTTGTCATTGACTTAAATTAATAATATTCATAGGAAAATATTCATAGTAAAATTAATTATATTCTTTGATAAGAAGAGGTGTGGTTATTATAGGAATATATATGGCAGATTTTAATTTTTGACTTGTTTAATAAATTTTGAGGACTTTATGTCATAACTTGTGGATTTTTATGGATTTGGGGGAAAAATTTTGCCTCAATTTTTAGGCAATTTCTAATTAATGCCCTGAACTTTCTTTCCCGTTCCTGGTCCGCGTCCTGCTCTCTCTCTTGATAGTTCTTTTGTTTCTCTGAAGAATTCCGTTTCTCTTGTTATTTTGAACTTTTCTTTTTCTTGAAATGGCAACCAAACCATCTTCATCTTCTTCTCCTGGTCTCCTCAAACTGGAGGAACAGCTCACCTGTCCTGTGTGTCTTGAATACTATACCAACCCTAAGATCCTACCCTGCCATCACTCATTCTGTGAGCACTGTCTGAAGGGATTAGCTCTGGATAAGAAGAATGAGACCTATTGCCTCTCTTGTCCCACTTGTCGTCATTGTACAGAGTTACCAAAAGAAGGAGTAGGAGCCTTTCCTGTAGCATTCCACCTCAACAACCTCAAAGAGATGCAAAGTTTACTAAACAAGGCAGCAGCAGTTCCTCAAGAGGTCACATGTAGTGATCATAGAAAGCCTTTGGAGCTATTCTGTGAAACATGTAATATAGTAATCTGTGTTACTTGTCAATTTCGTAATCATAAACATCATGAATATAACTTAATCACTGATTGTTATCCTAAGCACTGTCAAAAGTTAAGGGAATGCCTGTCACCAGTTGAGGGAAAGAAGAAAGCACTCAAGAAGGTCCTGTCTGCCCTATCAGAGAGAGAGGGTGAGATCAGAAAGAGAGGAGAAGGAGTTTTAAAAGAGATACATGAAATGCTAGAGAAAAAGATTGCTGTTCTTCGTGAGTCACAGAGGAAACTGACTGAGCAGGCAAAGAGGGTCACTGATGCTAAACTAAAGGTGTTGTCAGAGCAAATGAAATCAGCAGAAATTAGTTTGAGTCTTTTGAAGGATGTCCAGGATTGTGTGGAACAGAGTCTGAAGACAGGCAGTCCTCAACAAGTCCTGAGGTCTAAGAAACAGATGATGGAGCGTATGAGTGAAGTTACTTCAGGGATCAATGTGGAAGAGTTACATCCAAAGGAAAAAGCCGACTTTATATTGAGTAAAGATATCAAATCACTACATCACATTGGAGATATTGTGACCTACTCATCTACTGCACTACAGCAGTGTAGAGTGAAGAAAGTTGGTTGCTTTGAACGTCTGCCAAAAGAGAAGAAGGTTTCATTTTCACTATCAATGGAGGCACCAGATTCATCTATTTTGTGTGTTCCCGTCTCTTCTCTGAAGTGTAGTCTAGTACCAGTTGGTAAAGGTGATCAACCCGTTCACACTACAGTCACTACCACCAGCACTGATCCTGGAGTGTATAGGATACAGTGTAACCCTTCAACCAGTGGTACTCATACAGTAAAAGTACAAGTATATGATGTACACCTTGAGGATACCTCACTAGCCATCCCTTTCAATCCTTACCTTGATAGCATCCCTTCTCTATATATTCTAGAGCCTGTGTTTAACCGTCCCTGGGGAGTTGCTGTAAGTGATGATAATCAGCATGTTATAGTAACTGAGAATAATGGTAATGGTATAACAATACTGGATGGAGAACGAAAGAGAGTGAAATCATTTGGAGCAACAAGAAGAAATCGTAGTTTTCAGTTTTTTTATCCTAGTGGTGTAGCCTTTACATCAGACAACTTTATTCTTGTGACCGATGGTAATCACAGGCTTCAAAAAGTAAGAATGGCAGATGGAAAATCTATAGCGTCAGTTGGTAGAACTGGCAGTGAACCACTGCAATTTGCGTATCCTGCTGGTATAGTCATTTCTCCTATTACAGAACAGGTTTATATTGCTGATGCTGCTAACAATTGTGTAAAAGTCTTGAATCCTGATCTAACCTTCTCTCATTCATTTGGTAGTAAAGGATCAGCTAATGGACAGTTTCAATCTCCAATTGACATTGCTATTGACAGTCAAGGATTAGTGTATGTTACTGATAATGGTAATCATCGCATACAAAAGTTTTCTCCAGATGGACAGTTTCTGGGTCAGTTTGGTAATAGAATGTTTAGTTATTTTGGAAAGGTTAATGGTCCAGTAGGTATAACAATAGACACTGCAGGTACTGGTCTAGTGTATGTTAGTGAAGAGGGCAATCATCGTATATCAGTCTTCACTAGTGATGGTTCGTTTGTTAGGAGTTTTGGAAGTTTAGGCAGTGATATTGATCAGCTTAGTAGTCCTTGTGGATTAACTTTTGATAAAGATGGATTCTTGTATATTTGTGATTTTTGTAATTGCCGGGTTGTTGTTTATTAAATTTTTGCAATAATTATTTTGATATTGTGATTATTTGTAATAGATTATAATTTTAATTTTTAATAAATGTAATACTAAATTAGCTCAATAAGGCTCTTCCGATTAATGTCATATACGTAATGATTTTAAGCATAATGATTAAATTCACTAATCAAATTTTCAATCACTTGAACTGCCTAGTAAAATGATGTAATTTTGGAAATGTCGGCAGTTGGTTTTAATTTGTAATGCATTTGCTGCGTGGCCAAGATTTTTCAAATTTTGCATCTTCAAGAGCCATGAAAATACAATCTGGCCAAAAAGCAGAAAATTGTAAAATTGAAGTCATGAAATGGATTTTTGGGCCACAACTATATCATTAATAGCATACACGTACTAATAAATTTTTATTTTATGTATTATTATCGTTTTCCTTCTCCTCCACTTTGTTTTGCATTCCCATGCAAATTGTGTGTGGTACATATAAGGAAGTAAGAGTGAAGAGGGGGAGATTAAGCCATTAGTTAAGAGATCCATTAGGGCTACATATGTCATATGTAATACTTGGCATGGGAAATGTTATTGTATGCTATGATAACTTCCTTTAGTCTATAGTGGTAAACATGCTCTAAGACAACTCCTTGTTCCTTTTCGTTTGTCTCTTTTTTTATTTTCTTATGGTTCGTCCTTGCTCTATCTTCATTTACTATCTTCTACCTTTATCTCTCTTCATTTTTCATTCTTGTTTTATATACACAATTTTATTCTTTTCTTAAAATGGCAGCCAAACCATCTTAATCTTCTTCTCCTGGTCTCCTCAAACTGGAGGAACGGCTCACCTGTCCTGTGTGTCTTATCCACTATACCAACCCTAAGATCCTACCCTGCCATCACTCATTCTGTAAGCACTGTCTGGAGGGATTACCTCTGGATAAGAAGAATGAGACCTATTACCTCTCTTGTCCCACTTGTCGTCATTGTACAGAGTTACCAGAAGAAGGAGCAGGAGCCTTTCCTGTAGCATTCACTCTCAACAACCTCAAAGAGATGTACAGTCTAATGAAGAAGACAGTAGCAATTTTGCCTTATTCTCAAGAGGCCACATGTAGTGATCATGGAAAGCATTTGGAGATATTCTGTGAAACATGCAATACATTAATCTGTGTTAACTGCTCATATCGTGATCATAAACATCATGAATGTGAGTTGGTCACTGACAGTTATTCTAAACACAGAGAAGCACTGGAGAAATCTCTTAATCCAGTAAAAAGGAAAATTGAAGGACTCAAGAAGGTCCTGTCTGCTTTAGCAGAGAGAGAGGGCGAGATCAGAGAGAGAGGAGAAGGAGTCTTAGAAGAAATACAGGAAATGGTAGAGGAAATGATTTCTGTTCTTCGTGAGTCAGAGAGGAAACTGACTGAGCAGGCAAAGAGGGTCACTGATGATAAACTAAAGGTGCTGTCAGAACAAATAAAATCAGCAGAAAAGAGTTTAAGTGTTCTGGAGGATGTTGAGGATTATGTGGAACAGAGTCTGAAGACAGGCAGTCCTCAACAAGTCCTGAGGTCTAAGAAACAGATGATGGAGCGTATGAGTGAAGTTACTGCAGGGATCAATGTGGAGGAGTTACATCCAAAGGAAAAAGCCGACTTTGGATTGAGTAAAGATATCAAATTGCTAGATCACATTGGAGATATTGTGACCTCTACTGTACTACAGCAGTGTAGAGTGAAGAGAATTGCATGATGGCACTACACCTGCTGGCAAAGCAGTTTCATTTTCACTATCAATGGAGGCACCAGATTCATCTGTTTTGTGTGTTCCCCTCTCTTCTCTGAGGTGTAGTCTAGTACCAGTTGGTAAAGGTGATCAACCCATTCACACTACCCATATAGAAATTCCAAGGTTGTTACAACCAGGTCACAACCTTGCAAAGTTGTAGCAACCTAGTAACAACCTTGTACAAAAGTGATAAAGTTGTGAGCAACCTAATAACAACCTTGTACAAAAGTGATAAAGTTGTGAGCAACCTAATAACAACCTTGTATAAAAGTGATAAAGTTGTGAGCAACCTAGTAACAACCTTGTATAAAAGTGATAAAGTTGTGAGCAACCTAGTGACAACCTTGTACAAAAGTGATAAAGTTGTGAGCAACCTAATAACAACCTT